AGACAAAGTAATATACCCTAAACCAGTGAGTGCGTCTCACCCTTTTTAGACTCAAGGCAGCCGTTGTTAGACTCAGCACCCCTCAGAAAATGCTTCCTCTTAGCTTTCACTCATTTTTTGACTATGGAAAAATAACAGAGCAATTCTTTTCTTGCAAAGAACTTGTAAAAAAAAGACCACAAGAGGTCTGTTGTTGACCCTATGGATTCCTTTTGAATCATGTGTTTGCATACCTATCAGTGCTAATACTGCATGGCACCATGCAGCACCCTCAAAAGAGTCTCATAGTACCCCAGGGTGCTATCATGCCCTGGTTGAGAATCACTGTCCTAAACCATCAATACTTTCAATTCATTCTCCATCGTAACCACTAGTTTATGGTGGTCAGGATTCAGTGGGCAAACGAAACAATGGTTTTCTTCTTGCAGTCAACCACAGCAATTAAAAGCATTGTTATATATATTTCCCGTGAAGATTAGTTAATGAAAAAAACCTGAGATTTTTCCTCCATAAAGCAATATAAACAGATATTATTTGTTGTTGTTTTTTTTTAAAGGGTTTAGTATAAGGAAAATATCCTGTTTGTGGAAAACTAATAGTACGTAAAAACAAGCCAGCATTTAATTACTCTACCTGTGGTTTTTACCTTAGAAATCAGTAAAAGTCAACCTGTTTAGTGAACACTGGGAAGAGGAATAATGCATAGAAGTTCCTTTTAATCATTGCACATTTACCTTAGTACACAAAGCTTGTATTGCTGCTACATGAAACAAAAAATACTTTCAAGATGAAAACATGTCATTTTGTTTTGTGATTGCACTTGAAAAAGTTGTCCCCTAGCTGAAGGACTAAATCAACCAGTCTAAACATCGTCTTCACTGTACAATGCAGTGCATTGCAGGTATTACCTGAGGAAGAAAGGAGGCTCCTGGAGTGAGTAAGTGTCAGACCTTGGTGTAGCGCCCAAATCTATATCAGTCTTGAAATGATTCGAAGGCAGAAGGGTGTTACATATTCCTTCAGGCTCCTGTCAATAGTTGTTACTTGAAAATAGTCTATCATAACATTTTCTTGCTAGTAAGAGTCTGATAAATTGGAAGCTTCACCCTTATTCTCCATCCCTGCCGCCCAGTCTCTGGAAGGGAAAGCTTTATTTTTGTCCTCATTATAGAGAACCTCTTACCTAATGAGAATGGAATACTCTTCTCCCTCAGCATCTTTTTGCTGGTACAAGGGGAGAGCCTTCTGTTTTTTTCACACATGGTTGTATGTTGTCTCTTTCCTGTTTCCTCATTCAAGTTCACCTGGCAAGTCAAGATCCAAAAGAAAGTACTTCATAAATCAAGGGTCAAATCCTATAACAGTTTGCAGAAGCATGAGAGAGAGAGACTAGAAGAAGAAAAACTTTCTTGCCAGGAATGTGACCAAAGTAGTAGGCTTCATTATAGGAATGGTTGTAGTCATAGTCTTTCTGACAGAAAGAAAAATAATAGCAATGATACCATCTGAATTTCTTTAGGAAAAAGAATAGAGATGATGCAAAAGATAATGATGCTGAAATACAGCACTGTCATGCTGTATGAGGGTGCAGCCGAGACTGCCTCTCTTTTCCGGATCTACTGGGTCTCCTCCACCTTCTTCCTCTGTTTTTGCTTGGCACACCTTGTTGTTTAAAATTAGAGGGAGGTTGAATGTTAGGGGAGGAGCAAAGATCTGCCTAGCTCAGGGCAGTCCTTTTCATGGGGCTCCTCTCACCCCTACCCCCTGCTCCTTACCACTCCCAACTGGGGCCAAGATCTGTGGCTTTAACTCTGGGCTCCTGTCCCCTTCAGACAGTAATTTCCCCTGGGTCCACTGTCCAGGATACACCCCATTCCATTGTTCTACAAAAGTTCGTATCCAACTTTTATGGGTTTTCAGCTTGGTGTCTTCCTTTTTGTACCGGGAAAGGGGAGCACCTTAATTCATTAGCCCTACCATTCAATTGCAGGGCCACTGGACATCTCTGGATAAACAAGACTTGAAGTCCCCTTTGCTGCCTGGTGAACTATCCAGTCCCCCACCTCTCCATGGACTCAGTAGTTACTTCCACTGAGTTCCCAGTTGGGCAAGTCCAGGCTAATTCTCCCTTCAGGGCTGGCCACAGTTAGCTCATCAAGCCTTGCCTGATGTACTTAAGTTAGTTCCTGGTCTAGTCAGGAAGGCCTGCTTCCAGCTGCTTGGTTTCATAATGCCATAGACGATCAATTAATTACCAATGAATTCAACAGTCTCCCATAATTCATAGAAGATAAATTAGTTATCCCCAGACTCATTGGTCTCAGGACATTTTACAACTCAATTAATTTTCTCTTCTAATGGATAAATGATGCTCCAAACCTGCAGGATCATTCCATCAGTTCTTCAGCTATCTGGAATCACTCACCCTTAATGCATTACCTCCCTGGGAGCTGCACTTTCCCTTCAACTGGTTGAGTTCCTCTTCACTCACCAGGTCTCACTCACTGGTCCAAGTCCTCTCTCCCCAGCTTAACAGGCAACACTACCATGTCCCCAGGCTGCTGCTGGGAAGTCCCATCTTCATGTCTCCATGCAGTATGCATGGCACTCCAAGCCTGCTATGTGTTCCCCTCTCCAGGAGATGTCTGTGTGCCAGCTCCTTTTTCTAGCCTGAGGGCTTACTTCATGCTGACAGTGTGCAGCCGGGATTTTGCTTCCTCATCACGGGCTGCGTATTAACCCCTTCTCTGGCCACTCTGGTGGCCTTGTAACCCCACCAGTCCTTGTAGGGTAAGTTTGTTCTCTGACCCCGTCCAGCTGGCATTCATCACTTGGAACGGACTGGAGCTGGTTCCCTGTTATACATTAAATTTAAAAAATTGTCTTTAGAAAAAAATATCTTCTTGTACCAAGTTTATCCAATGGGGAAAATCTCTCTGAACTGCTTAGTATGAGCTTCTCATGTATATTGCTTGTTAAAACAAATTCAGTGGAATAAAACTATTGCTTAAAATTATGCAATCTTTTATTTTATGCCTACTTGAAAATATCCATGGAAGATGCCTTATACTAAGGAATGCGAAAGCACTGCTCAGCTATTTAAAAGGAACAATTAATTTGCAGATTAACCTTATTTGAAGGCAAAAGCTTGATTTTAAATAAATTGCTTGACTGCAATTAAAGTATATTTATTATAGAATCTAATGGGAATATCCTTTACATTTGCAATGAATATGTTTCTTTCAATGTTTCATTCACACGGTGTCAGATCAGATAATATATAGATTATGAGTAGGATTCAGACAATGAACCCTTGTCTTTGTATTAATAAAAGAACTTTATTAACAAAATCTAGCCAGAGTTGCTATCTGCCACTGAACTCAGTTCCCTAATCTCAAGCAACATCTATAGATCAGTCAATACTACTTCAGACAGTCCTCTAAAATCATGGTTTGTGTGCGTGCCCACAAGAGAGGAAGTAAAGCCCTATTCTGCTGCTGAGAATATTTTGTTTAAAACAAAAGGGCAGTTTATTACAAGATCCGCATTTAAAATTTCTGCTCATCTTCAAATAGGGTAATTGTTTCAGTTTCACTGTTTCTTTTGTGAAGAGTAGTGTGCTTCTGTAGCATTGTTGCTGTGCTGTTTGTTAAACTTTATAGAGTGAGAATTTCTTTTACTTAAACATCTGATGATTTTGCTTTAATTCTTGCTCTCTTTTGTGCTAACAAGTTCTTTATTACTGGATTTTCTGGTGGGATAGCGAAGTGCTGTTCCGTGCTGTTTCTCTTCTTCTCTGTGCCAGTTAAGCATGCTACAATGCTGGGGACTGAAATTCTCTTTTTACTCATAAAGGCCACTCCAGGTAATTTTAAGAGCAGATTAGGCTCCAAAATAAAACACTTTTATCATTTTACTTGTTAGTTTTGGCACTTTCCAGGGCCTCTGAGATGGCAGGTGTGAGACTATGAGATTCTGTAAGAATCAGAGAGAGAGAAAAGAAATAACCTACATATTTTAAGTGTAGTGTTTCATAGATTTTGTACTAGTAGAATTTGCTTGGCTTGGTTTGGTTTTTTTTTAAACCAGAATATTTCCTTGTTACCATCCACTTTTTGGACACAGTTGGAAATTGGCTTTTTATTCTGTCAGGTTTTTCCTTTTTCTGTATAGGAATAGCCATACCAGTAGTAAGCACCTTTATATAGCTCTAGAATACAGCTTTCTGTTATGATTTTAAGTGCATGGAGCTTCATTAAACTTTTATATCCCTCTTATATACTTGCCTGATGAAAATATAGACACATATCTAAATAAACATAGCTTAGATACAAAAATTTAATAATACATAAAATGTTTTAAAATAAACTCTGTAAAAGTCTATCCTATAATTCATTACACACTTCACATTTGAGGGGAACTAACCTCAACCTTTGCCAAATTTCTCCTCTTAAAATTATGCTATGACTGTGAAATTAAATTGATCTGTTTCCTGCCTTCCAAGAAATTCTTCATTTTATTGACAAAAATAGTTTAAATTGTTCCTTATAGTTCAACCAGACCAGTACAACTTTAGGAGAACATGTCAGAATTTTTTTTAACTTGCGCCTCAACAACGTTTTTGGCAATTACAAAAGTTTTGTTTACATCTTCACTGAATCAGTGTTATTGGTAATAATATTATAGTCAAAAAGCAGCATTCTACTTTGAAATCTTATAATGAGTATACAGTTCTGCTCTTAGGACCTAAGTCTCTACTTCTTAGCTGGGTACAATTTTATGGATGCAATTTTAACATAAATACAGAACTTATATAGCGCTACTAATACAGAATCACTTTCAGAGCACATTTACACTTTTTTACACTTTAAATTCTTTAGTTGACTCACCCCAAGCCACTGCATATAACTTAATTTTATATAAACTATATTTTCTGTATTACCTAGATGTTTTCAGAACTAAGGTTATAGTTGTTAAGTATCTTCTTCTTTCTTTGACAGGAAATTCTGGTGATTAAAGATCATGGCAACCATAGAGGAACTGGCCCATCAAATTATTGAACATCAAATGGGAGAGGTACCTAAATTTTTTTAGACCTGTGTGAGATGAATTGAACACACAAACATTTGTACTTTGCTATGTAAAGTCCAAAGTCACGAAAGCATAATCTTAGTTGGCCTAAAGTTCTTGGCATCTCCAGGTTGTGAGTCAAACATTGGCCATGGCATCTCCCCAAGAAACCCCAGAACATTCCTAAAGATAGAAATTGCTAAGTTATGGCTGACCAACTGGTGGACCACTGACCACATGCAGCCCACAAGGCATTAAATTGTAGCCCTTGGGCTCCCACCCAACCATCACCATTCCCTCCCACTGCTCTGGCTACAATAGCAGCCCGAATCTTCCACTTCCTGTCCCTGCTCCAAGCAGCAGGTCATTGCAGTGTGGTGAGCGGAAGGTGAGCTTGGGTCCATGTGGGTGCATTGTGCAGCAGTGGCATGGGGAGGGCACCAGGGCTTGCGCTGATTTGGTCTGCCTGGTGTACTTCTGGTGTGACCTGCTGGGCATGTGAACCCAAACCACTTAGTCCAGGACTGTCCAACTTCTCAGCCAGTGGTTCTCCCACTGTGTACTGTGGACCACTTGTCATCAGCAATCTGTCCACTGAAATGGTACTCATTTTCCTCACTTCTACCTATAATATTGAATTGAAGACCTTTAAAAATACATTACTCTTTTTCCATGTAAGCAATTGCTCTAATTGCTACCATTATGTTATAGTATGCTACTGGAAGTGGCAGTGGTTCACATCTTTAGAAGTGTTCAGGATGCTTGGCATAAGCAAAGAAGAGGATGGAAAGTTAGTTTTCCTTCCTGAGAAGCGCCTGTTATAGATCCTATAATCACTGCATAGTGTCTAAAATAAGCACTTTTAGAACTGCATGAACAGATTAGAGAGCATATGAAGAACACTTAGTTTTGAACAGTCTCTATTATAATGAATCTGACAATATTTAAGGCATGGATAGAAGCAAAAGACTAGACAGTATTTTCCCGCATACCACACCCCTCCAAATAAGAATGGCACCTTGTTTTTGGAAGGCTGAATTTAGGAATAAAAGATTTTTTTCTGGAGTCATGGCTGACTTTGATATAGAATAAGTCCCCCTGGAAATATGTCATGTAAAGGAATGTGGCCTCCTAGGAGACATTTTGAGTGAGGCAACAGGAGCATCCTGGTGTGGCAAGACAGCAACAAGGCTACTCCCCAAACCCTTGCAAGAGCAATAGAAAGACCATTGCTTCTTTACTGCAAATAGTTCTTTATATAAGTTTCTGTAAAAAAATAAAGCGTTATTTTCATATCACAAAATTTAAGATACAACAGACAGCATACTGCAGCTCACTTGCCAAGAGCCAGCTCATTTCTGCCTCAGGCACAAGCTACAAAACTCTGTCAGTAGCAGCTATGAGAGGGTTAACACAGGGCTTTACCCCCTCTGCCTGCTGGGCCAGAAACCACAGCTGTCTTGGCAGCCATTAGACCACAGTATCTCCCTGCTTCTGTTCTTGCAAAGTTAAATCATCTTCCCTGCTTAAGACACACTCCCGAGTTTCAAAGAGCCGATTTTGGGAGAAAACGTGTGTTGTATGCAGATAAATGTGGTGCATGAACACGGTACAGTTGTACTTGAAATCTCTGCTCTTTGGTATATTTTAGGGTTTCCTGCTTTATTGTTAGGTATTCTCTAGGGTTCAGGTTCCCATTGATTCTAATGCTGCTGAATAGAAAGCTTTCCTCTCCTGACTTGTTAGTTTTGTTCTGTATGGGATCTTATACTGCCATCATTACAGTAGCATCTGAGCACTTGGCAGTGGTGCAGTAAGTGACATCACAAACTTCTTTCCCATGTGATTCATTTTGGGTTTCATCCTGTTCCCAGGTCAGAACTGTGTATGGATGATAGTGTTTTGTTTTGGTAGCATAGTTTTCAGATGCATAAAAATTGCAGTGAGGGTGGCTTTTCTTTGCTTTCATTTTGTTTGCAGGTAAGTGCAAGTGTGTGTGTGTGTGTGTGTGCACGCGCGCACAGCAGTGTATTAGAGAAAGCAGGTTGAAGTGCAGTTTGTATTTGAATGGGAAGTCATTTATTTATTTATTTGATTTATATTCCACTCCTAACAAGGCTTGTGGTGGCTTACAATAAGAGGTCAGGTTTTCAGTACTCTTGACTTCTTATAGTCCATTCTAGAGTCTTGAACGGCTGCCACCCCCACCGTGCAAAAAATTGTGTTTGAGGCAGAGATTAGATTGTTAGCTCTGCTATTCCAATAAATTGACTGTGCCTGAAAGGTTGAGTTTTTGACCACAATCTTGTCCAAAACCTGTAGATCATAATGTTTAATATAATGGGCCCCATCCATTCAACACCGTATGAATACAGACCCAAGACGTCAAGCGTGACTCTAGAATTCAGTCTATCTTTGGCTAATTTCAGATGCACATAACTTTAAAAAAAAAATCCAGTACCCAATTCATCCTTTTCACAGTAGTCAAATTTACTTCAAAATCAGAAACAAAGCAAAACAAAGAGAAATTAAGCCAAATTCTTCAGCTGATGGGCCAGCCAAGCTGCCTTTAACTACATCTTTTTTTTCTTTTGAGAAGAGGCCACTTTTATTAGAGTAACAGTGCCCATCTGCTCTCCCTGACAATGTCTCAGCAAGCAGTGTTGTTTAAGTTATCGTATTTTACCTGTCACTGTTCAATAATAGTAAAGCTGTCTTCCTTTATCACACAGTTAAACTAGAGTGAGAGAACAGCTGCACACTCTTCACAGCAGCTAGTTTTGTGTCTCGCATCTTTGTGGATTTGATTGTTTTGGTGTGTGAAAAGTAGGAGGGTAATTCTGCTATGTAACAGATTGCTAATAAGCCCAACTAGACTTGCATACTATTGTTACAGCTTCCCTTTGTGATGGCAGACTTCTAGCATAATAACCAGGCAGTGGTAAAAGTGTTGCTTAATTGAATATTTTCATTTCTTATTGTGCAGGCTTTTATTTACCATTGTTAGATTTTGTTATTGAGAAAAGGATGTTGGAGCAGATGCAGAAGTCTAGTTTGGAGCAGTTAAGTCTTGTCTTGACTCATGGGTGTCTCCAACTTGTACCAGTATCAGTAGTGCAGAGACTCCTGTTCTATTTGGCAGACTACCAATACTACCACTAAGTAGTGTTTCCTCTTGGAATTCTGGCAGTATCAATAAGTTGCTGTCTTTCTGGTTCTATATGTATTTATGGGTACCAAGGGTGAGATTTTTAGTCAAAATTTCATCCTGATTCATGTAACACTTGCATAGTCTTGTTACCTCCAGATGCAGGAGTTTCTTTCCTTTTTCAACGTTTGAAAGAAATGAATTGGAAAGTTCAAGCTGACTTAAGGTCAATGGTCATAGACAGAAGGGTTTATTTTGAAGAATTAACTGGGTGGCAGATATACCTTCTATTTGAGTATATGCTCAGTCTTTGCCAAAATTATTTGCAACTTGGGGATATGATCCAGTATTCTCAGATTTTCAGGTATCAGCTTGTGTTCATAAACATTTTTCTTCTATAGTTGACCTACAGGATGAAATTATTCTTCTGTCTGCTTGTGCTCATATCTGATGCAAGTTTCACCACTGAAAATCAGTTTCAAGTTGCTTGGAAGCTGAGCCACTCTTTC